TCACTCCACTTCCCTGCTTCTCTGTTTTCCCTGTCAACTTTCAATTGCAAATTCCATAGGGCAAGGACTTCTTTTGTCCTCAATAAAGCATGGTGCACCCAGGTTCTGCTTGCAGGTGTCCTTGGGCATCTGGTTGGCTACTGTGAGAACAGGCCTTTGTTCTGATTCAGCAGAACTCTTATTATGTTCTTATGATGGAACTAAATGATGATAATGACAACACCAATAATTATGCAGTTGCAATAAACTGAAGGAATATTGACTTTTAGATTCATTTATTTGGTTTCATGTTCCGTCAACCCTTTTGTCGTTTATCACACAGATAATATGAACCAAATCAAAGATGATCATATCTCAGCATGACAATCTAAGAAATGAACATGGCCTTTGGACTCGCACACAGCTGCTTCCCTTCTTTCTTCATGTGAGCAAGTAAACAACCCAGGAAGTCTCCTATTAACTACAGTTTCCCATTTCTTCTGACTAAAGGAAACAGCTTCAGAACAAATCGGACTATTAAACCACAATTAGAAGCTGGCTTAATATCCTGGCTTCTTCTAGAGCTGCTAACCTTAACTTCTTAGTATAGATGAAACAGAAAGCGATAGTTTGTTTATCACCTTGTTCATGCCAAGGGAGAAATGAAGGGTTTGCACACATGTCCAAAGGGCTGGTTCATATCACAGTTTTTAAAGCCAAGATATATGATTGCTTGAACTCTTATCTTGACGAATAAGGAATTGCTGGGCAGTGTGTTCCCCTGCTAAGAACAGGCACCTGGGGCCCTGCCCTAAGCACATCAGATTGCTCTAGGAGGCTTGCCCTGACTAGAAGCTGTTTCTATTCAACTTTGCCAAATCTGGTCCTACCCGAATTGGCCCTGTTTGGTTCGAGCTTCTGCCAAATCTGGTGCACAGCCCTGGAAAATTACCCATGAAAATGTCTCTTCTACTACACCAAACCCTGAGATCCTGGGTTTCTTTGTGGGGGCTTACCAGGAAAGACTAGTGAAGGCTCCTTAGAACAACCTACTGTACGCAAAACCTTGTGTTGTTCAGATGTAGAAGAGAAAGGTCTTAGTGAGTTTTTCTCTTACATTTTCAATTTAGTTTCGGTAGCCTCTAATTTATTTAGATATGAGGCTGCCTTTTGAGACTGCTAGGAAATGACATGGGAAAAGGTAAGGGGAGGAAAAAGATGTGAAGAGAAAGAGAGGTGTGTGTGCAAAAAGGAGCACTCTTGTAAAAGTCAGTCTTGAGGGAAAAAAATCAATTTTCTTGTGTGACATGATTTGCTTAAGGCTTTTCCATCTATGAAATCAGCCCATCATCCTCTGGAAACTCATGAACGAGGTGGCAAGCATGGCTCAGAATAACTTCTATTAAAGGCCACTAAATTAGGCTTTAGGGACCCCCTCTTGTGAAGAGTAAGGGAAGCTCACAACAGGACCTCTAATCCTGCCCTTAAGCCAAGCTGCTACGAATATATGTAGGAGGCTGATCTGGCCTCCCCCCTCCTTTTTTTTGGCCTACTACAGATGGGTCACCTGCCCAGCAGAGAAGAGGGCTGAAGAAGCAGGAAGAAAATTGTCACTCCTGCTAGGTCTCCTCTTCTCCAAAGAGAAATTGGCAGTGCTGCTTGCTCTCAGATCTTAAAGATGCCTGTTACAAGCTTCCATTTAGAGGCAGTCAAGACATCATTAAAACCCATCATGTTAATACAGCACTGATGAGAATCTTCTGCGAGTTTCAAACTGCAAGGCTATTAAGCCCGGGAGTAGGGATGTTGGAGAATTTTAACAAAAATGGAAAGGGAGCCAAAATTGTTGCAATTTGTGTGGTCAGTCAAGTGAATATGATTGGTATTCATCCACATTGTTGTGGTTGTTTTTAAGTCTGCAAATGACGTGTAATTAGTGATTAAAAAAACCACATTGTTCTGCCTTTCCTTGATATTGAAATCAACACAAGTTATGTAACTTATGTAAATGGTTATACAAATTATGTAACTTACAAGAAGCAGAAGACAGTGAGAAGGATAGGGTGGCATTTGACAGTAACTGAACTGCAGTGAAATGGAAACAGTGCTGGTTGTCCTGAATACAGGTTGGAACTGAAATTGCCACATTCTTACTCCTCTACCTAGGGGGAAATTGCATTCTCCATCTTGGGCATTGCTCACTCCAGGATTTTTTGTTTTTATTTGGGGGGGGGGTCTGTGTGTGTGTCCTTGGACAAGGTTAGCCCCTCTACTTGATAACAAAACACTTGCTTGCACTCTCCCTTGGGTCCAATTCATACAGCCTCCCAGAGGGAGAGCACAAAGGAGGTGGAGGTTGCTCCTGTAGTTCCTCACCCGCTGTTGACTGCATGCTTGGAAATGACAGGTGAACACCATTAGTGAAGTATGGAGCCATGCAGTGCACAGCCTCCCATTTCATATACTGCTGCACCTCCTTTTGAACAGTTGATAACAGAGTACAGGATAATTCTGTTTCTCTGCGGAGCATACACCACCTTGGTTTTAAAACCACTTCAAGATGGGGCTAAAAGGTAAAGGGATCCATGACCATTAAGTCCAGTTGCGGACGACTCTGGGGTTGCAGTGCTCATCTCGCTTTACTGTCTGAGGGAGCCAGGGTTTGTCCGCAGACAGCTTCCAGGTCACGTGACCAGCATGACTAAGCCGCTTCTGGAGAAACCAGAGCAGTGCACGGAAATGCTGTTTACCTTCCCGCCAGAGCGGTACCTATTTATCTATTGGCACTTTGACGTGGTTTCAAACTGCTAGGTTGGTAGGAGCTGGGACCGAACAACAGGAGCTCACCCCGTCGCGGGGATTCGAACCGCCGACCTTCTGATCGGCAAGCCCTAGACTCTGTGGTTTAGACCACAGTGCCACCTGCGTCCCTCAAGATGGGGCTAGTGAAGAGCAAATGGATGCAAATTTGGACCTGCAAAGTAATATGTAATGAGGGGGTGGACAATCTGAGAATACAGGTGTTATTTCCATCTGTGAAACAGTGGGCCAAACTTCCACAACATGGTGCCCTCTAGAAGGACTACAGCTTCCATCATCCTTAACCACTGGGCATGCTGTCTAGGGTTGATAGGAGTAGGAGTCCAAATCATTTGGAGAACACCAGGTTGAGGAAGGCTGTGTTAGACAAGATGTCATGAATCTGGGTGTTCCTGTGGTCTGGAAGGGGACAGAGCAGTAACTAGCAGTAGAATGCCATACACGTCTACTAAGAAGAAAGTCCATTGAGGTCAAAGGAGTTTAGTCCCAGGCAAGTGCTTATAACAAGGATAGTCAATGTGGTTCTCTCCAGGTAAGACTGGAGTACAGTTCCTACCACCCCTGACCATTAGCCATGCTGGCCAGTGCTAGTAAAGTCCAACAGCATCTGGAGGGAACCACAATGGCTTCCCCTGGTGCACAGGCATGCAGTAGCAAGCATCAGTACCTGGAGAAACCTCTTCCTGTATATGCTGGGGTAGGCACACACAAGCCATCCTTAACTGATTTATTTCTGATGGCACACAGCGTGGAATACTGTTCTGCAGGCTAGCAGCCGCCACAGCATCATCCAACATTGATAATTCCCTTGGCCCCGAGTTAAGGTGCCATGTCCTTGCCACCCCTGCAAGCCAGCAGCCCACAATCTGCTGAGCTAGCCCAGACTGCCAGCTGCTGAGAGCTGCCTCTCTCTCTCTCTCTCTCTCTTTTGTATCTTTCTCCATGGCTGAGCGTTGGTATTTTCTTTTCCCCGTTCCGTGCGGCTGCGCTGCGATGTAAAGCCAGCTGTTGCAGTGATTACATTTTAATGTCTCAAGCTGGGAGTTCGCATTTTGGCTATACACACTCAAAAAACTGTTAGCTGTTAATGGTTACAACTACCTTTTGAAGTCAATTCTCTTGTGTGTGTCTGTGTGGGTGGGTTAGGGAAGGGGGGTGGGGGGGTGTCGTGGTGGATATATGTGTGGCCCACACTTTTCCTGGTGCCGGCAGCTCCATCTGCTTTTGCTGAAGGCACCAGCGCCTTCCAAATCCTTGACAGCAACCCCCCTTTTTAAAATATTAATATAGCTGTGATTGTGATTTTTTTAAAAAAGAGCTTAATATAGCAGATCCCTCTTAACTGGCACAGACTGCAGAGAGACACAAATGTGCCAGTTTTAATCAGGGTGCCAACGACACGAAGTTCTGGGAACACCATGCAAGAAGGCAGGCTGACTTTCACTTTGCAAGAGAAGGAACACAACTGTGAAATATGGAAGCATTCAAAATCTTTTTTTTTTTTTTTAAAAAATCTGTTATTTGGAGAAACTAGATAGACTCTAAGAAATAGAGCTAGGCAGTCTGGGTGTTCTGTTGGGATGAAAGCTGATATCAGAAGGTTGAAACCCATTTGCAAAGCACATCCTTTGGAGGCTCTGATGACGAGTCCCAGTTATGTGTGGCTGGTTGTTTAGAATTGTTGGTGCCAAAGAAGTGTTTTGTGCATGCTCAGAGAGACTCTTGTGTGTTCCAGAGCTAAGCACTGCCACTGGAAACAGGTTCTAGGATAAAGCCCTGGTAAGTTAATTTAAGACAGGGGTGGGGAACCTGTGACACCCCCCCCGATGGTGTTGGACTCCATCTCCCATTAGCCCCAGCCAGCATTGCCAATGGTTGGCGTTCTGGCTAAGAACATGCCACTGACATTGCTCATAAGTTGGCAGGGTTGGAATCCGTGCTACATGCTGCAACCATGCTTGCCCAGAAATAAACCTAGGCCTCTACTTGATGCCGTACTTCAAAGGAGGGTTACTTGCCTATGCTTTTCCAGTCAGAGACACCTGTGCTTTGAAGAACAAATTGAACAAGTGCAGCTCTCCTCTCTGGAGCTGCAGTGGTGGGAAAACAAAGGAAAGATGCCTTATATCCACTGGTCCATCTACTCAGTATTGACTACACTGATTTCAGGGATTCAGGCAGGGCTCTCTACTTGCCCTACCTGGAGATGCCAGGAATGGAACCTGGGACCTTCTGCATGCAGAATAGATGCTCTAACACGGAGCTACAGCTCTTCCTCAGATAGACAACACAAGTTCCTCACAATCATTGAGTCATTAGCAACACAGGAGCATCTGTCAGGGACATTTAAAAAAAAAGAGAGTCTGGGCTACTGCCAGATCCCATCCTCCTCAGAGGTTGCCAGGGTGCCCAAACCTTCTTTCCTATGCTAACAGGGCTCTATCAAATGGGATGAACAGACCGGAGGGCATTGTAGGAGACAGAAGCGGCGCTGTGATTTCCATTTGTTTCTGTTCCTTAACTAACAGCTGCCTGTTGTGTCTCTTTATTTTCCCCCAAGCAGATCAGAAAAGGAAGCAGGCAGCAATTTCCTTAGCTGTCACAGAGGCATATTCAAGACCCACTGACTTTAAAGGAAACCTCTTAAGCAGCAGCTGAATTGGTGTTAATATTTGATGAGCCAACCGTTCTGTTGGTTCAGAGATAAAAACAATGCTCCGGGGAAAAAAGACCTCTGCTGAACAAAGCCCCCTAAGCAAACAAACCCATAGAAACCCTTACCTCTCAATCTCCCCCTCCCAACCGCTGTTTGTATCCCTTGAGGTTGCTAGATGCAGCTGGGAGAAGCTGCAGCAAATAATGCAAGCACAGTACCAAGTATCCATGTGGTTGCATCAGAATGACCCTGACTCAGCTGAAGAAGCCAAGAGATGCATGAGCCTTTGGCTTGCCTTCTCAGCATATACCATGATTAAGCCAATGGCTAGGAGTCACAATGGCTAGGTTCTACCTCGGAGGCAGTATGCCTCTGCATGGTGGGAGTCTCAAGAGGAGAGAGTGCTCTCGCACTCAAGTCCTGCTTTTCGGCTTTCCACAGGCACCTGGTTGGCCATTGGGAGGATGTTGGACTAGATGAGTCATTTGCCTGATTCATTGTTCAAAGGGCACCCTTGATCAATTTCAAGAGTCAATGATGGCACATAAGGATGGAGCTACAGTGTTTACTATTTATTTATTTATTTATTTATTTCCCGCCCTCCACCCTGAGGTCCCAGAGTGGGTTACAACATTAAAACACAGTATTAAAAATGGTTTCTATGTGGGCAGCCATGTTTTCCCCTTATAGTTCCTCCTGAGAGTGACAGAATATCATCAAGGGGAGCTTGATGTATTCACATTCAAAGGAAGTGGCTGGCAAGGACTCCCTGCGCTGGCATCCCTAGGTTGTGGGAGACTGGGTTGCCAATTTTTAAAGATGGAACCATTTTTATTTTTGGAAGGGAGAGAGGTAGCAATGAGGTTCTCAGACTGCCTCATACATACCAAAAGTAAAATAAAATCACCTTTGTGTTTCTGCACAGATTTTCAAGGATCTTCCAGTAAAAATCCCCACAGAAACAGGCTGGGATGAACTGAGGCTGTGCACATATTGCATTTATTCTGGCTCCAGCGTGCTCCTGCAACAAGTTTTGAAGCTGTGGATACATGACGTTAGCCACAGCCCATCAATTTCTGTAGTTTCTTGAGAAACGCTGCTGTTCGATGTGTTTCCCCTCAAGCCAGCTTCCATCTCATTTGAAAACGTAAGCCACTTTCACTTTGCAGTTAAGCCAAGGTGTGTGTGTTTGAGGCAGTCATTGTGCACGTACAGATGCCAACTTTATGATTAGGAGTTGTGGGGGCTGCAGGTGCGTAGAAACCAAATAGGTAATGCACATTGGCTGAAGACACCCACGCTCCTGCTCTGTGTCAATGTGACTTGAAATGCAGTGGGGGTGGGGAATTTGCCAATGTGTACATAGCCTAAGTCCTACAGAACTTGGATGCATGGGGTTTTAATGGGTCCACCCATCCCTAATTCAGTAGAACTTACTTTCCTCTAGAGAAGCATAGGACTGTGCTGTTAGTCTTTAATGTGGCACAAGAGTCTTGGTGCCCTATCCATCATCTGTCAATGGTCCCAGTGAACTTTGGTCTCTCCTCCCACCACTTCCTCTGCAGCTCATGGTGCCTCTTGCACCTTCGTCTCTACTGTCATGTTTCTTTGTGCTTCAGCACATGTGAGGGAAATACACTCTGTCCGTGGTCAGAGGCTCTCTTCATTATATAAATGGCATAGGCTTTGTGGCTAACTCCTGCAAGATTCACCCCCCCCCCCAAAGTTGTAAGCTGAGCCCTAATTCAAACTAAGTGCTCACTTAAGGAGACTGCTGTGTGAAAACCCATGGGCATGGCAACATATGCCTAGTGGCCGGATGATTTGGCTAACACTAGCAGTGGTGGTAGCGGGGAAAGAATGAGGAGTGGAGCTTATAGAGTTTGTAGATTGTGGGGCTTGCAGATTTCATTAAATGCCCCCACTAGTTCGACCATGAATACTGACCCTAGAAGCTCCCACCCCTTAATATCCCCTCTGGCTTCACAAACCTTTTCACTTAATACCACCCCTTTCCTGTGGGTTAAACCACAGAGCCTAGGACTTGCTGATCAGAAGGTTGGCGGTTCGAATCCCTGCGACGGGGTGAGCTCCCATTGCTCGGTCCCTGCTCCTGCCAACCTAGCAGTTCAAAAGCAAGTAGATAAATAGGTACCGCTCCGGCGGGAAGGTAAACGGCATTTCCGTGCGCTGCTCTGGTTCACCAGAAGCGGCTTAGTCATGCTGGCCACATGACCCGGAAGCTGTACGCCGTCTCCTTTGGCCAATAAAGCGAGATGAGCATGGCATCCCCAGAGTCGGCCACGCCTGGACTTAATGGTCAGGGGTCCCTTTACCTTTAGGAGCTGATTGTTGTAAACATAAGATTCTTGGTCACAGTTTGCTTCAAGGTGTGCACACGTCTCCTCTTACCCTTGCATGCAGCAGAGTCAAGAGCCCACATCTCCAGCTGTGATAGATTAGCCCCCCCCCCAATCCAACGCTCTTTACTCCAATGGGTACAGGCAGTTGCTGCTCTTTGTAAAGGTCTTTTTGGAGCGGGAGACACTCTATCAATGTGAGAGCTGGAGGCATTTATTACTGTCCTCTCTCTAACCAACTCCCAAACGTTTCGCAAAAATAACACTAAGCAACACCAGCACACCCTGGGAAAGAAGGCGAAGGGGCTGGAGGACTCGCACAATATTAAAACTTCCCATTTTAGCCTTCCACTTTAAAGATTCTCTTTCTTACAGCAAGCAATAAATAATAACGGGGGAGGAACCCCCGCCCCTCCCGACACATGGCTGACATCAAAAAGCCACCAGACGATCGGCAAATAGAGAGATCTGAAGAGAGGCAAAGGGAGGGACTAGTTGAAAGTCAGTTCACGTCGCTCTGACTTCTGTTGCTTCACATTAATTTTACCCACCATCACAGGTGGTGGAACGATGGCAGTAACTAATTACACACACTCACTCACTTGCTCTCTCTCTCTCTTTCTCTTGCTTACTCGCTTGTTTTGCATTGTTGGCTGAGAGCAACATGAAGCAGCTCCATTTCAATCCCCTAAATTTCAGCTCCATCCCATCCCTCAGGATGGATAGCCCTCCATGAATACACCAGGGTGCAATCATTTAGTATTCTCTGAAGCACAATAAAACACCCACCCACTCATCCAAGATAGTTCTCCGGATTTCAGGCCCTCTGATGAGGCATTTCTGGGAGTTCCCCTGGGGTTTGGTTGGCCTTCACTAGCAACTGACCCTTAAGCATCAAGGCCTACTGGTAGAGATTCAGCAAGAACCACCCTTGTCTTCTTCCAGACGTCTTCAGAAAAATGGTATTGCTTAGAGAGACAGGATTTTCTGCTGCTGTTTTATTGATGTTTATAATTACATTTTATGGATATTTATAGACTGATATTCTTATTTTTTGTATGTTGTAAGTTGCCTTGATATATTTTATGAAAGTGAGGATTATGAATATTTAAATCTACCATATATTTTGGAAAGTGGTTTGCCTGCCTGGCCATCTGTTCTTTATAGGCTCGGTTTCCTCTCATGCCAAACTTAGCATGAAGATTCCCAAAGTGGGGGTGGTGATTTTCATCACCATTGGGCCAGCAACAACCTTTTTGAATCAAGACCTCTCCCAGAGTCACAATTCCAAGTTCCCTTGGGGAAAGGAATTGACTGTTAAACTACTCTATGAATCGTAGCCTGTGCACACAATAAAATACAATGTCTAGGTAGGCTTGCTTTTAAAAAGGAAGTTTTTAGTAGGTGGCAAAACACTACAGTGAAGGAGCCTGCCTAATATTTATTATTATGTTAAGCACCAATTAAGTGTAATTGGATATTATACACACCAGGGAAAGTGATCCAAGATGACAAACAATATAATAGAAAAAAGAGCTATCCAATCATGTCATACATTTAACAATGTGGCAGACCAAAGAGGTCAGTGCTTAGATTGAACTAGTTCAGTTAAATGAAATTCACTGAACTAGTTCAAAAGTCTCTGAACGATGCCTGAAAGTAATTCCCATAATTGAAGGGTGAACTAAAGATGAATTCAGTTCATTTTGGGGGTAGAAAATTGAATGATTCACATTCACACTCATTTTCTGCCTCCCCCACCCCCAGAAGCTTAGACTGTTTATTATTATTTTTCAGTAAGTCAATCCGGCATCTATAAAGGAAGTTACAAAGCAAAAGGTGGATGAAAATTCCAAGGTTTATTAGGCACTCCTGTTGCTAAGATCACTTAGACAATCACTGTTGCAAAGCAGTTGGAAGGAAGGAACGTGAGGCATTTCCTGTATCTTCCCTGCTGAAGAGATTCAAAGAAAGACGTTTAGGTACAGGAACAAAGCAAATGAAGCCTTGTTCCTTTAACAGATCTATGTTTGCCACAAATTAAAATGAGGCAAGCCTTTTCTAATGGGGCAATATAATTATGGGGAAAGCTTAACCTGTTGGTATTTTGTCTTTCTGACATCTTATTACTTGTGTGCACCCCAGCTTACTTTTGAAACCTATACCTCAGCAAAGCTGCTTGGAACATTCTGAATGCAGAATTTGTGTGCGTGCGTGTGTGCCAAGGATGAACTTACTATGAACTAAAACATTC